TCAACCCGCCCGCCCCGGGGCGGAGCCCGGCCGCGACGCGACGCCAGCGGGGAGCGGCCCGGCCTTGCGAAACCCTCGCGGGACCCGCCGTCTTCGCGGGAATTTCCTCGCGGGACTCCCCCGCCCCGCCCCTTCCGGAGGGCGTGCGCAGGCGCAGTGCGCGAGGACTCCCTCCCCCTTCCCAACTGTGACGCCTCAACCGTCGCCCGCCTGTAGGGGAGCTCACGAAGGTTGGAAGGGGGTGTGCGCAGGCGCAGTGCGTCTCCCGCGCCAGTTCAACTGTGACGTCTCAGAGCTGCTCGCGACGGTTGGGGAGCGGCGTGTGCGCAGGCGCAGCGCGCGTGGTCACCTCTCCCCCACCTCAACGGCGGCGTGTCAACCGTCGCCCGCCTTGTGGGGTGTCGCGCGACGACCGTTGGTGGCAGGATGGGTGGGGCCCCCCCGCACGGACCCCGCGGGACACAGGCAGGGGAGGCCACTCGTAGCCCCTGGTGATCAGCGCCCCAGGCTGCCCTGAAGGCCTCCCAAGGTAGCCTTAGGTTTTTTGGGGCCCTGAGTCTTTTGGAGCCCCTTAGAGGCATAAGTTGAAGAAGGAAGGAGTTTTTAATAAGTTGAAGAAATAAAGTTTTTTAACACTGAGCTATGTTCTAGGGTCATTGCATCTTCTGTATGGGCCCGTCTACAACACAAACGCCTCCCAGGACATAAGCTGATAGCCTGCGTGGGACCTGGGGCCCTCCCGTAAGGCCACGCTGTTAGGCACACAGAAGGGACAACCCCAGAGCCTTCAAAAAGGAACTGGTTGCTGCGGTCTTCCTCCAGTCTTTGGGAAACTCCTCTATTACCTTTATGTAAACAAAAAGAATAGTGAACGCTAAGAGCTGGCACTTCCCACGGTGCCCCCAGCCTTTCCAGGGTTGCCTCCAGCCTAGAAAGGTTGAGATCCACTCATCCAGCGCACACCTAGTTTGGCCGCTGTAAAGGAAATGCCTACGGCAGGCCCCCGGGAGGCCTTGAGATCCTTTCAAGGGTGCCGCAGGTTGCCACGCAGCACTAGTGGTGCTCGGTGTAATGGCACAATTCATGTGACAGACGAGGAATCTGCAGCATCAAAGGCATGTTGACCTGCTGGGATCTCTCCTGAGGTCTTTGCACCGGAAGAATTGCTCTAGTAGTTGTCTGCACTCAAAGAACGAGCGAAAGCTGAGAGCTGGCATTTTCCAAGAGGGGCCTCAAATCTATCGAGGGGAACCTCAAATCTCCTGAGGGGTGCCCCGAGGCTAAAAAGGTTAAGAGCCACTAGTTCACAACCTCTCAACCACTAGTTCTCGAGCTTTGAGGCTAAAAATGTTGAAAACACCTAGGAGACGTTTGTGTGAGCAAATGGAAAGCAGGCAGTGTATTCTGGATGAAACAGCAGCCTATCTAGTCCTTTGAAAAGCACTATGAAGCTTAACCCCTGGCAGTGAAGCAATGGCTCCAAACAAGGGAGGTTGCACCAGTGCAAACTGGAGTAAAGATGCCAGCATTTAGTGCTTCAGAAAGAAACTTTAGGATTTGGGTTAGCAATGAGACAAAGTGGAGGAATTACGTCATTCTTTTGTCTCAAAGATTGCCAGCAAGAATCTCAAGCTTCATCAGAATAGTGTTGCTAAACACATTCAAAATACTGTACTGGTACAAACAGGTACATGTGTATTAACAGCACTTACGGGAAAGAAGACCCCTGGAACGAGTAAGTATAAGGCATTTGCTCAAGATGCAGATTTACAATGCATTTAATGTTTATCCCAATAAGTTATTTAGTACCATCATGAATATCTTTATAGTGCTAATCATGGTCACTGAAATATTATTAGAATGAAAGGTTATGGAAATTACAATTCTTGACTCTTATTAGAGAAGCATTTATTTTCTGTGTTCTGTAACATTTAAGTCCTTATCTTTGGAAGGAAAACAGTTTTTTTTTTCAACCGAAGTTATTTTAAGGTAACATTGTAGGAACGATAAGGTACTTTGTAGTTTTTACAAATTGAGAGGCAGCGTGAAAGAAAACACAAGCCTAGAATTTACCGTATTATTATTTTAGAGTAGGCCTTGAATCCCACTAACCCAAATAATACATAAATATTCTACACTTTATTTAAACAGCAGATTATTTTAATATGTTAAATATTGAAACAGCGATTAAGAATCAAACAGGAAGTTTGATTTGATTGGAATTTGAAATAGTTTTTTATTTGAAATAAAATATAAACAAATAAAATATTGTATTTGATTATTAGGTTACAATAGTGTTGGTGAGACCTGCCAGCTTTCACCCAAGGAAAAAACTATTAAGTTCAAGGGGAATTTGTCCTGAGTAAGAGTTTGATTCCGTAAGTTCTTGGAATGGTCCTGGGATGACTATCACCATTTGTTAAGACTAGGATTCAGACTTAACAGCCTAGGAATTCAGTAACAAGAAGCTGAAGCTAGAGAATGAGTCAGCACTTAACATTCATTTCTGTTACTGTACCTGGCTTTTCCTGGATTGCCCTGGGCATATCAGTTACCAGATACTTTTTCTGAGGTTTTTCATGGTCTACTGCATTGCATGTTTGTGCTTTTCAATTTTATGCAATGAGATGCTGACATAGTCCGTTGCATGCTTCTCAGTAGCAGTAAGTGTGTGAACTCAAGGCACTCACTGCAACCCCTCTATATGATGAGACACCCTTATTTTATTTTATTTTATTTTATTTTATTTTATTACATGTTACCAGCTTCACCTGAAAATCTGACATGGACATGGACTGTGGTCCCCCTCCTGATGAGAAAAGCTGACTAAAATTTATCCGCAAACATCCTCAAATATAGGTTTTGTAGAAACCAATATTTACTCTTCAGATAATGATGGATAAAATGTTACCATGACATTTCAAAAAATTCCAATCAAAAGTTATTTTTAAATAAATAAACATTCCCCAGGAATGTTGCCACCGAAACCTTGTCATAGCCCATGAATAGTAGTGTCACAGTTCACAATAAACAGAAAATATCTAACTAGAAGCTCACTAGAAACAAAAACAAGAGTAAGTCTACTTTAACTGGGAAATGGGGAAAGAAAGTAGCACAGTTCTGTGTAACATAGTTTAACATAAATTAGTTTAGCATTTATTAAATTTGTTTTTAATGCTTTTTAATAAATTTGTAATACAGTACAGGAATATTTTTTAAAGTGCACTGCTGATAGTGAACTGATTCCAATTTACTAATGTAAATTGAGAATAATTGTACTGAAGTCGGTAGTTATACTTACATTACACTATCGTAAGTGATATCAAAACACATGCCAAGATTTTTTAATTGTGATTCTTTGAATAGCCTGTAAAAATAGCAGCTCGGGGTTCCATCTGTCTCTGTGATTATGCATCAGCTGTGCTCTGTTTGCGAGAAATCATGTTTTTCTGACTGCAAGCCATGCACATGCAACCTGAATTCAGAAAGCCAGGCTCAATGTTTTTTTTCTTTCCTGCATACCATCCCCTGTAATAAAATTACCAAATTATGCCCTCAGTGATACCTGTGCAACCCTATTTTCCAGAATTGATTTACAGAGGTATAATTGATAGAATTTAAAAAGCAATCCTGTGGAGGCTACGCAGTAAAAGAATAAGCAACAGCTTGTGATTCCTTAATTGTTGTCTCTGCTGGGCCAATGGGATTAAAAAGCAGTAAAAATGTACTTATGTCACTAAAGTCAGTACATACTTCCAGGCATCAGAGATATTAAGACAGTGCCATTTTTCAACATAGAGCTGTATGTTCAGCCTGACTATGATTTTAATGCAAAAGGGTAGGAATATACTATAAAACTATCCTGTTACTCCTGGTAATTAGATACTGTGAATAGCTAAAACCAGGCATGTTCACAACAGTTTTTATGGACAAGGGCTAGTCTCCAGCATTTTATACTTTTTACAAATGATATATTTAATATTCTTGCAATTTAACTTACTACACTTCTTGCAACTACTGTCAGAAACTCACTTCACTGTGGTCTGTGATCCTTTGATTTCCTTTTGTAGCCCGATTTTTAATTCCTTAAGTCTTTGCTGCAGCTCATTTTTACTAGTATGTTTCAGGTTGGCCATAGCTTTCTAAACCTCTACTATGTTGGGGGGGAAAAAACTTCTCATCTGTAGCACTCAGGTTGCTCATAATCTGTTCCATTTTACCAGAAAGAAGTTTTGCGGATGGTCTTCCCTGTCTGTCTGGATACTTTTTAGTTTATGTTCTAACAGAGATTTAAGCTCCTATCTCTTAGGGTACATATACACATGCAAGCACGTGCATTTGCAGCAGCTCAAGTAGAAGTGGTGCAAATTTGAGCCAGAGCTTTTTGCCTCAGTGCAGGTTGTCAGACATGAACTTTGGTGTGGGACAAATTGTGCCACTTTGGGCAAAATAACCCTGCCTGGCTCCTCCCAGATCTGCAGCCTGGGGCCAGCACCTGTGCTGTTGCTGTTGTTTCTGCTGCTGCCCCCTCTCAGAAGAGAGGGAGATTCCCTGCTGCACCACCTGACACCATACCTGCACTGGATCACTTCCTAAGTGACTGGCTGCTCCTACCCTCCCACACAGCTACCTCATTGCATCTGATCCTGATTTGTCTTCCTGCCTACTGCTCTGCTGCTGAGCAACTAGCTGGAGGCCTCAGGGGCTTCTGGATAGATCTTCCACAAACAAAGTCCTTCCACTGCTCCAGCTAGCTTTTACACCTGCCTCGGCC